ATATATATATACTGACGGGGAAAATAATCTTGTCATTAAAGTTTTTAATTGTAAATTAGTAACTTATTTAAATAAACAAATAAAATTAGTTAATTCAAATATTAAATTGAATTTTTAAATCATGACAGACAGTAGGCCTACATCTTCAACATGTTTATCCAGCTGTTGCATATACATGATTAGTTAGTCTATTCCTTCCTTATTTATTCAGTGTAATGTTTTATATTTATCCCTGGGCCATTAAGGGGAATATCATTCTGCGTTCGAAACCTAATTAGAAATATAAACAATAGCTGAAGTGTAGTCTGCGCCCCAACTACTTGGAATTACTAGCTTGTCTCTGATTGGTCGGCTTGTCATAGAAGGAAGTGAAACTAAAAGTTTACTTAACAGCAGATATAAGGAAATAGAAGTGGTATAATAAGACTCCGCATTCAACACCGAGTCTCACCTGAGGTCGCATTGTTTTGAAGTGTTGACTGTTGATAATTTAATAAGAACATGCCTGACAGGGCCAGTCGTGCTGTAGGCCTACTCCTACTGGTGTTCCTTTTGTCTGGGACTGGATCTGGGACTCAGAGCGACAGTAAAAACATGCCCGGTGCTGTCGATGAAAACACATGTAATACTGATATTGATTTTTTTGAAACTCTACCTGGTAAGTTTTTATGATATAAATCGAAGTTTAATAGATACCGTGTACGCGATTTGTATCTAGAATTCATTAGTAATTTCAAACATGACTAAATCTGGTGAAATTTGGAAAAAAGTAAAGACGTCTCATGTTCAATAGATCAAGTAAGTCAGAACGTTCCAATGAAACACAGTTGAACAAAAATCACTTTTCGTATATTTAACTTTGACGAAAAAGATCATGAAGTCTAAGATGTGTGCCAGCCATTGAATGGTCTTGCAAACAATATTGGATTGGATAGGCACTACTGCATATTATGCTTCTGTGTTGTAATAGGCCTATTTTATTCGTACTATTTTAAACACTTTAAGGCTAATACGGTAACTTTGTAACAAATTTAGAATATTATTCGAAGTAAAAATCAAAACGAGTAAGTACTGTAGGCCTAATTTTTGCAGATCATTCTATGGAATTTCCAGTTACATGCGCAACCCGGATACAAAACTCGTCAAACAAATGCATGTTCATGGTTGTTGAAGCCTTAAATGCAATAAATGGTCTTTAAAGCCAACAGCAGTTTTTCACACTACCCCTGTAAATATATCAAAGGTTTAGGCTTTAATGTATATAATGAAGTTTAGTTCTAAATTCTCATGTGATGACGTGAAACATTAAGATTATGACAGTGTGTATAGGTAGTCTAATGATGATGATGATAATGTTGTCAGTGGCGGATCCAAAAGCTTTTAAACGAGGGGGCACCAATTTCATATAGGCCTAGATGTAATATAATTATACAGATAAATAAGTAGGCCTATCCAATATAATGACATAATTCTTGTTCAGTAAAAATCCTGAAATATTGTAACGTTTTAGTATCTGTATTGTGTGTTACAAAATGAAAGACGGCAGTGGCAAAACCGGAGGGGGTGGGGGAACGATAGTAAATAATATTCTTAGTTATAGTCCTCTATCAAATAGATATTCTCTAACAATTTCTATAAAACGTAATGCATGAAATGTTTCTGGTGCGAAAAATCTAAACAAATATCGAGCTGAACATCACAGCCATTATTGTCTTTAAGTTTAATGGTGGGCTGAAAAGCGAAACTGATTGAAAAAATGTCTGTGCTCTACTGAGAAAGTCGAGGAGCCACTCTTACAATAGATTCTCAGCTACCTCAGGCACATCCTTTGTATATACAACGTTTGCCTAGCGGGTTTCATAAGGTAGGATTTAGTCATCACTTCGTCACATTCTGTACAGGAAGAAAGGCAAATGTAACAATTCAACGATTATTATTGTAAGTGAAGCGTTGGGAGGTTCAAGGGTATATCTTTTTCTTCTATTGATAATGTTTTGAACCATACTGAAATGGTAGAATAAAGTAAACACAGAGAACATGAAGGACTATAAACATTTTAAATGAAATCCAGGTGACACATCCGACCTCATACAGACAAAGTAGGGGTAAAAGAGGGGGGGGGGTAGTATAAATTAACAGACTAAAATAGAGGGGCATAAACTAGAGGGGTATAAATAAATTCAAACTACAGGCAGCGTTCACCACTGTAGTTAAAATACCGCGCCTACGGCAGCTATGAAATTTTAATTCAATTCAATTCAATAAGACTTCATTTTCAATTCCATCATCACTACATTACAATATATGAATAATTCAAATATACCAATTATAATAAATAAAATGATTACTGTAAATAGAATAAATTAGTAAACACAGAGAACCTGAAGGACTACAAACATTTTAAATAAAATCCAGGTGACACATGATCCTGATTGGTGGGTAAATCCGACCTCATACAGACTAACAAAGTAGGGGTAAAATAGTGGGGGGGGGGGGGTAGTGTAAATTAACAGGCTAAATTAGTAGAGGCATAACTGGAGGGGTATAAATAAAGTCAAACTACAGGCAACGTTCACCACTGTAGTTAAAAAACCGCGCCTACGACAGCTATGAAATTTTAATTCAATTAAATTCAATAAGATTTTATTTTCAATTGTATCATTAATATACATTATAATATATGAATAATTCAAATATACCAATTATAATAAATAAAATGATTACAGTAAATAATAAGGAATTGAAAAAAGGCATACAAAACTAGTGAACACTTTTATCGTGTTCTTATAATAATGATTATACACACTTATACATAAGTAATCATAATGTTAATAGTAATAATAATAATACAAACTAATTATACATATGAATTTATTTTAAAATAAAGCCAATCAATCAATCAATCAATCAATAAAATTTAATTAAACAGCAAATGGATAAAAATAAAGTAAAACAAATAGGTAATCTCCTCAAGCCTATTAAACCTGATAGGAAGGAAACACACAGATGTAAATCAAAATCGTAATGGGACTGAACATTCACGGAACAACACAATGTTAAGAATTCACATAGGCCCCGAAGGTACAACAAGCAACTAACACATTTGCCTACTCGAATGTCTCTTTGTTTAGTATTGCTGTTTCGGCTAATTTCTGGTACACATATACAGTACATTTAAGAAAAAGATTACAAGCGCCTGCAGGTAATATTGATTGCGGAAGGAGCAATAAACGTATTACCATTACCAAAAGAAATACCAAGAATAATTATTTAGGACTCCAACCCTGGACGATTGTAGTTAATTATTGTGATTGCTAAAATATTAATTATGGTACTTTTCATTTTAGGTACTGGATTCGATAATTTACGTAACATTGACATGGGCCAAGTGGTTTTGAATTCGTACGAAAATTGTCGAATAACGGATGACAAAAAATACCTAGTACCTGATAACGTCGTTGTTATACCTATCAAACACAGTAACGTAAGTGAATAATAAAAGTTAAAACTGTTACCAATTGCTCCAAAAACAGCAAAAGACCTACGAACACACAGAGTGTGCCGTACCATTCATAGTAGGCCTACATCTCCTAATAGCTTCATAATTATGGATAAAAACATACTGGCCAGAAATGTTATAGCCTACACTAATATTAATCATTATCAATCAATATCAATAAAATTATTTTCTAACGTTAAATCCACAGGTGGAAGTCTTTTCTGAGTTGTTTGAACACTGGTTGAACTACACTAGTACATCAAGCTACTCAATTAATGCCGGCGCATCATTCTTTTCATTTATTAGTGGAAGTTTCTCAGACGAAACAGAATCCGTAAAGAAACATCAAGTGTACGATCAATCATCAACAACCCGCGTTCAAGTACGTCATCATTTGTATAATGTTCGCATCGACAATCCAACTTTACATCCGACGTTTAAGTCACGTGTCCTCGATATCGGTGCGCACGATCAGAATAATGATACACGTATGGCACGATACCTCACTCAACTTTTGGTACGAGACTATGGGACACACGTTGTGACGTCAGTGGACGTGGGTGGAATTTTTCTCCAGCAAGATCAAGTCAAAAACACTTTTGTCAGTGATTACTCTTTAGAAAAACATCAGGTTAAAGCGGCTGCTAGTGCTTCGTTCTGGAAAATTTCAGCTGGTGGTGGATTTGATACCTCTACAAGTACAGCGGTATATGAGTATTATATGACAAACCGCACCTACTCAAAATATCAGACGTATGGTGGTGGTCCTTACAGAGTGAATGATACAATAAATGAATGGCAAGATCAACTGGCGAACAACCTGGTTGCAATCGACCGGCACGGAGACCCATTGCACTATATGGTTACAACGAACACCTTACCAGATATCCCTGAGCCTATGGTGGACAGTATCTCAAAATTAATATACAAAGAAGTGAAACGGTATTATGATGTGAACACACACGCAGGCTGCACTAAGATGGATTCATCCAACTTCAACTTCAGAGCAAATATAGACGACGGGTCATGTGTTGCACCTTACAATAATTATACATTCGGTGGTGTCTATCAAACATGTCAGATGCAACCGGGATCGAATGCGGGAGATCTTTGTCCAAAGTTCTCACAAAAAAATCCTTTGACAGGTGCCTTCACTTGTTCGGCAGGTTACGAAGCTATTCAACTAAATACTGGTCACGATAGTTACACTACCAGTAGACGTGAATGCCACAAACATTGTACTTTAGCTATATTCTGTCACGAATCATGTGGAAATGTCTACTACTCAAGCAAAGCTTATTACGAGACCTTCTGGTGTGTTGCTACTGGGTCGGTACCTGATGATACTGGATACCTGTTCGGTGGTGTCTATACACACACCATGGTGAATCCATTGACAGAGACCCAAGGGTGTCCAAACACCTTTCTACCTTTGCAGATGGGTGCTGAACTTTTTGTATGTGTCAGTGATGATTATGAACTAGGCTACAGATATTCTCTTCCATTTGCTGGTTTCTTTAGTTGTTCTGCAGGAAACCCATTGGCATTGCCCGGCAGGAAGCCTTCTGCATCAGACAGCATAAGTAAAGAACCGGTTAATACTCTTGCAAAGTTCTTCCAGGAAGCAGGTCCAACGGGCTGGCCTCAGCGATGCCCAACCGGGTATAGTCAACATCTGGCGGCCATAGACAATGATTGTCGTATTGACTTCTGCATCAAGGCAAACGCCCTGTCACACTTGGGACTTCCACCAATTCAACGTCCCCCATACACCAGAAAGCCTGGTCGTAATCCAAATACAACTGAAACATTGTACATTGTTGGTCCAGCCTCAAAGGTCTGGGTGAAAAACACGACAAGCCAGACATGGCAGGTAATGATTGAAAGTCAAGCTGAAACATTTTTGATGACCGACGCAGGGAAATATGAGTCAGGGAAAAAATTTAGTGCGTCGAAGGCCGTCGGAATCACTATCGGTGTTCTAGTTGTTATTGCCACTGCTGGTTTTGTTACTACAAAAATTGTCAAGAAAAAAAGACATTCAGTTCCACGACCGCAAGAACGTAGAAACGATTATGGTACACTAATAACACAGGATCAAATGAATGAATCAGAAACTACTAACGTCCATATTGATCCGAATTAAAATCTGCTGGTCAGAATTGCCGAATTATAAAGAAAATAATATAGATATCAGGTTGATGTAGTAAAAGGCAAAGTTTGATTAAGATCAGAAACATTTTTACCCAATAGCAGATTACTGTATCAAAAGCGTTTATTGCATCGAATTATTGATCAGAAATGCATTCTGCTGGTTAGAGAATTATTAAATTATGAGTATCAACTTTAAATTACATATAACGATTTGTTCAGTTCACCAGCCTAAATAGAAATAGGAATGTGTCCAGAAATTTGAGGCTAGGTTGAGAGGGAAAAAAAATTTCTGTAGTGTACAACCGATTTATATACAAAAAGGGGTTTGG